AACAAAATGTGAGAAGACATGTATAAAACAATTGATTGAACTAAAACAGCAGACTCCCTCCCCGCCTTCATAAACTGTCTAATATTTTATGAACCCCCCTTTTTCCTGGCTAAAAAATATGTGACCCCCCACTGTTTCCACCTCCCCACCCCTCCTGCTAAATTATGACCAGTCCCTTACTATGTGACTACTCACCCTCCAGCTATTCAAAAACAGCAGTTGACGCTCAAGCTCAGATTGAACCTCCACTCTTTGAGTGCGAGTGAGCTTTCAGAATAGAGGCGTAAAACTTCAGGGGCCAGTTGTTCAAAGGTGGGTTAGCGCAAACCCTCGGTTAAAATTTAACCCGCTGTTTTAGTTTATGTATTTCTGCACGTCTGTTTATTTCAAAACTTCAGAGAAGTAAACTCCTATCGATCCAGACAAGATTTCTCTGAAGAAATATTTCCAAATTTATAAACAAGCTGCTTTAATTTTTAGGTTAACCTAGGGTTAAGCTAACCCAGCTTTGAACAACTGGCCCCAGAAATATCACTACTCTATAGTTAAGATAAGTGCGAGCAATTTATGACCAGATTTAGTGCCAGTTCCCCAGTCGTTTCACCTCTCTGACCAAGGTTTGATTCCAGCAATATATACAGTTTTCTGTTTATAATTTCATCTCAGTCGCATATGAGAAGAGCGCTTCCAGTTTCGACCAAACTCCACGATTTTCTCCTGGTATACTCTGGTTCTCTCCTGCAGTAACACTGGACCAACAAGAGATCAGAGATCTCTAAGGAGAACTGTTTAAAACTGAATTGAAAGAGCAATGCAGTATAAAATATAAAAGTTAGTTTAGTTTATAGAGCGTTGGTACTGATGAAAGATTTTGCTTCTCTTACCGCTTCTGTAAATGCTTCTACATTTTCCTCCTCCTGAGCCTCGAGTAACGCCTGAAAAAGTTTAAAAAAGATACATGTATAACACAACTTTTTTATGTAATTTAAGATGATTTATGGAAGAATGCCATCAATATTGCGCCCCACCTTGGACTTGCAATTACAAATGAGAATTTTACCTTGAGTAATTTACATTCTCTGGTGTCTTGAAAAGCGGCATACATATCACAATATTTGTCTACAGCTCTTTGTGCTTCCAGAGCGTCAATACACATGTGACATAAAGCAGCTTTGAAAAAATATTCTTTGGCACTGTATTTTAACAGCGAGCTCTCGATAGCGTCTGCAGCCACCTGGAGAATGTAAAAACAGAACTAGTTTCGAAAGGAACACTATATATTATCAACTACACAAAGTACAAACTGTATGAAATATATACTTGTTCATAAATTTCAATAGCTCTTTGGTAGTTTTCCATCTGAGCCGAGTACTGGGCTACTTTCAGTGAACACTTGTTGGCAGAACTGCAAAAAATATGCATGTCAAATTTTATCACACCCTTAATGAACAGTACGTACATTAATACGTAAAAGTAGGTACACAATGCGTACGATGACGTAATATGACGTAAAGCCTTGTTGGTATTGCAAAATTCCTTCAATGGATCTATTCCCTAATGAACAAAATTTTGATCTAGACAAGTCTAGACAAACATTTCACCACAGCTTGAAAGAGCATCACAAAATTAGTAATATTCCGAAGTTTCGTTGCAAAATGTTGTAAAATGCGGATAACACAGCCCTGCGAAGTTTGCCGTTTTTCAGTCATTTTGTATTACAAACGGGAAATTGATACCTTTTTTCAGAAAGCGGTATCAATTTCCCGTGCGTAATACAAAATGACTGGAAAACGGCAAACTTCGCAATGCTATATTATCCGCATTTTACAACATTTTGCAACGAAACTTCGGAATATTACTAATTTTGTGATGCTCTTTCAAGCTGTGGTGAAATGATTGTCATGGAGAGAGTAAGTGTTTGGTGAGATTTAATATGATAATGCTTGGGATTTTTGTAGATGGATTTCAAGGAGATTTTATAGATGGAACTAAATTTTTTAGATGGAACAAAATTTATACAATTTTAGACGTACTTAACCGGGAGCAGCTGCGAAAAATACAACTTGAGGCCCTCTAGCAGGAATCTAACCTGTGCCAAGCATTGTTGTACATATATATTAAGGCGATGCCAGTGTCAGGTATATGAGTAAATATCAAGATTTTGGATATCTTGTTCAATAGAACCGAATGTAGATTGCTTTTTGTAGATTTTCAAGCGCAAATTCCAACTACAAAAATCCCATCTACATTGAGTTGGATCGAACGAGATGGCCAAAATCTTGATAATGCTTACCTATTTGATTCCTCTCCGCGATAGAAGTCTGCTGCTTGTTCGTAATGAGAGATTGCCTAGTGTATTTATTGAAGTAACGTGTGAACTTGTTGACCATTTGTTAAAACAGTGTAAAATTGACAATTGTAAGCACTTTATATTCCAAGTATTTCCACAACACAGTGAAATTGTACCCGTGTATACCTTTTCTAAATCTATGACGCTTCCTTCGTAAATTTCAGCGATAGCCATGTGTTGTTTTGCTGCGATTGTAAAACGCCCCTTGAAAAAAATGAACACTTGCATTGTATTTCTACTTTTCTAGTGATCATGACGGCCACATATACCTGCTTCCAAAGCAAAATACAATGTCAGAGCTTTTAGGGCATAACCTGAAAAATTTATTTGTGTATACTTTCAGTGTAGGATTTAGTATTTCTCAAATTCATTAATAATTCATGAGCAGTTCAGCGAATGATAATCGATTACCTATTTGATCACAAGATGCCATTTGGATAACCCGGTGAAACTTGATGAAAGTCACTAGTGTTTTCATCAAATATCTTAATTGCGCATGCAAAATTACTTGAATAGAATTCCTAATTACGTCATGCTTGGTTAAGAATTCTATTCAAATCAGCAAACGAAAACATTCTGTTACGTCTCGATTAATTTGAGAAGCCATATAAACAACTCGAGCTCGTGTCTCACCGGGATATCCAAACACTCGAAAACAACGTATGACATGAAAAACCATTTGATCAAGGTTTTTTCCAAATTGTTGTAAAAGATCAAATCTCTTGTGCTATATAAATCGACTACATGGCCCAATTAAAAATGCAACTGATCTCATAAGAGACTGGATAGGCCCTATCAAAAATGAAAGCAAGTCTAATTAAGAAGAGAAGGTTGCGAACATCAGGCATTAAAATTAATGCTGTTGACAACAGGTAAGACCAAAGAGAACTAACCATATCAGTATAGATTTCTATGCCCTGTTGTAAACAGCTAATGGCTTCTAAAAAATGAAGACATATGAAGTCATTGAGTCAAAGTGCAGAATGATAGACAAATTAAAATATGCAAAAAATTACATTCCAAAGAAGTATTTTAAAATTTTACTCATATTTACCATCATTATCAGATTTCTTATAACAATTGGCAGCATCAATATAATGTGTCGCAGCTTCGTGTTTGTTTGCTAAAAGGTTAATTTGAATTTGTGCTGCCTGGCAGAAAGCATTACCGGCGCCTAGGTAAAAATAATAAATATATACATATTACATCTCGTAAGCTAAACCAGCTTCTAATACAGCCTTGCTAGAGTGTGAATATACATTGCATCCATCAGATAATTAATGACTGATACAGGTGTAGAGATACAGTTTTAAAAAGTTGCCATGTTGCTTTTAGAATTCCGTTGTTAGTTTCTTCATTTATCTTGCATCACAAATTGGACAAAAATACAAAAGAACAGTACCCTGGTTCCAGAGGTTTATTTTTATTATTTTCATTGCGAAGGGGAGAGGAAAAATAAACCTCTGGTTGAAAGCGGCAATTGATTCATCAAGCCGCGCCAATCAGTTTGAATTAGGGTCAGATCTTGACTCTGTCTCCTGATTGGATGATTGTATTAAAGCTCTCTGATTGATTCAAATAAAACATCTATAACCAATCAGAGAGCTTAAATCCAATCATCCAATCAGGAGACAGAGTCAGGATCTGACCCTAATTCAAACTGATTGGCGCGGCTCGATGAATCAATTGCCGCTTTCAACCAGAGGTTTATTTTAAACCTCTGGAACCAGGGTAAAGAACAGTAACTCCGAATAACATTTTGGTTTGATTTATTGAATCTACGTTTCCAAATTGTACAAATTTTGTGTAATACGGTGCACCTGAAGGCCTGTTTACACTTGCAATCTTTGCTGCGATTTTATGCGCGATTTTCTTCTTCTGATGGACGGGAATGAGTTATGAATGCTCAAATGAGGATACATAAACTCAGAACATTGTTTACTCATCAGTTTGTTCACATATGCATCAGAAGATGAAAATCGCAGCAAAGATTGCCAGTGTAAATGGGCCCTGACACATTTGAGTGTGATTATTGGAGAAGGGGGTAAAAAGATGCTATGGGGGGATTTATTACACACGTAAAAACGCTCAGGTTAATGCAATATTGATGAAAACAGGATTGAACAATTTGAACAATATTGTTACACCCGATTCAGGCTCAACAATACTGTTCAATATTGTTGACAAGTGTGAACAACGTGGGCAGCAAAACATTGTTCAATCCTGTTGAGCAGCGGGCTCGGCGTTTTTTGCCGCGTAGAGGGGACCTTACTAGGTAACAAAATGTCATAAAATATCTCGAATTGTTTTGTCTACATGCTTAACTGAATTAATATCAATTAACTTTGTGGTTTATTATTGACCATTGTTAAAAAGTGTGTGTGTGGGGGGGGGGGCACAAAGACATTTAGGTCCCCCAACTAAAAGAGTGCCCCCCTGCTTTACAGTAACAATGAAGAGCTCACCAGTCCAATTCTTGGCCAGTTTGTAAGTGTTTGCAGCTCTGATATATAAGTCTGCCGCTTCTTCCTGCTTTCTTGCACCACTAAATTAACACAGTGATAGAACACCAAGATTTATAAAGGAACTGTGTTTCGGAAATCAAATGTAGGTCAGGAGTCATTTTAACCAAGTAAACTGCAATGCACAAAACTTGGCACTGCCTGTATTATATTACTCCAGATGGTTATTAAATGCCAGCTGATTTAACTTAGCAGGGGTCAGGGACGCCGGAAAGTCGATAATTGGGGGGGGGGGGCAGATATTCATATATTCGTGTTCACAGACTGTAAAAACAATCGCTTTCAAAGGAAATAAATGATGCAGAACATGAATATATGAATATCTGCCCCCGAATTATCGACTTTCTGGCGTCCCTGCCAGGGGTTCCTGGACATTAACCCATAAAAGCACAAGACTCTCCTTTTAATGAGGATATGGCCTGGCATTAGACAAATTAAAAGAATATTTAAAGTAGGATGCATAATCAAATCGAATAATCTATCGTTCAAGAAATACATATTTATAATAATATGTAAAAATCGAAATAAAGTTGTTGAAACTTTTATGAAAGAGTGCAAATTGTTGTTTTTGTTCGTTTTTACTACAGTAACCACGGAGCTAGACACTTCTGTTACATGTTTTGATTTTCGAACGTAATAAAAGAGGCCCAACAAGGGTGTAACCCAGGTCGCTTGTCACACATTTTGAAGCTGCTTTGTCGCTAGTTTTATTGTCATAAATGTCACTTTTAACCCATGACACAAATCGCAATTTGTCGCTTTTTCCCAATCAGAAGCTGTCGTTTGTCGCTCTTTTTTAGATAGTCTGTCGCCTCTTTTTAAGGAATGTCGCCTGTCGGTCATAACCCCTTGGTGGGCCTCATAAAAGGACAAGGTTAATTAATATCCTGGCTTTCATTTCTGCATACAAAAAATCCAAAACATTCCATAGAAACGTGGCTGAATGAATATTTAAAACATGTATCTATTTCATGGAATAATGGGACATATCAGATTCTTTCAGACATCATAATGGATAATGGACCGCCCGCCCTCGTGTAAATTGAAATAAGAGCCGGACGGGAAACTAAAGTCTAATTTGGAGTGGCCTAATTGAAACCTTTAAATGCATATTTAAATCATTGACGTTTCATGTGAGTCTGAGAACAGACAATGTTTTCATATTTTAGTGTTAATCTTTACATGAAAATTGGTATTCTATTATTGATAATGAATTAATAATCTCAATTTCACGTAGAAAATATAGGGGGCCCTGTACATAATAAATTTGTATATTTTAATATCAAATGCGCACATTTATATTAATACATATGAACACGCTATTCAAAACAAAGTAATTGTGCAGTATACGTAAATGAGATACGATAATACACCATTGGCAAACCATGGCCAGTTGATTAGGCTATAAATATGATATAAACAAAAGGCATTTTCGTGGACATTGAACATTTATGAACCCACCCAAACAAACCGCCCAGAAAACCTTGTGACGACTTTAATTTCCTTTCTGCTTCAGCCATAAGCTCGGCAGCTTTCGCTTCGTTCGACATCTTTGTGGTATAGACTTTTAAAACGCGTTCCAGCAAGAAAAATAACTATTTATTTCCTTTTACTCAGCTGTCAGTCTATCAGCCATATTGCATACGTCATCGGTGTAAAAAACATAGCTGCCCGATATCAAGGTGTAGCAAGCAGGTATTGCGGGCCTAATGGTTAAAAAATAAAAACTATGAAATTTATAGCTACAGAATTTAGCTACAGTAAGTATGGCTATTTAAAAGTACTGTAGAAATTAATCAAAACTATCTTATTTTATTCAGTAAAAGCAGACTATTTTAAACATATCTTCTCCTATTTTTTACTAAAAACCATGGTTTATATTGTTGAAAAATTATTCTTTTCGCCATTTCTCACTTTAATTTTCTTACTTTCTTACCAGCTTTCTTACAATGCTTTTTTCAAATACGTTTTTTTACAGATATTCTAAAATACCCCCCGCGACACAGGAGTACCAGGTTACATCACAGGATAAATGGGAGTATAAACTAACAAGAAGGGACATATATTTATGGCGGTCGTGCGCGGGAAATAAATTGTAGTTGCAAATTTTTAGCAAATTCCAAGTTTATGTTCGATTCAAGGTCTGAATTTTGAAAAGTAGCACAAAAATGGGGGTAATTCTGCTTAAAATTTTAACTTATGAGGTAGTTTAAGTAAAATCTTTTTGTAGGATGAAGACAAGAGGTTATAAAACTTTTAAAAAGCGAAGTAATAGGCACAAAAAATTTCACATGTTGTCGATGTTGATATCATAAATATTTTGAAGACGGCTGAAGATCATTCATTTTGTATTTATTAACCTAGAAAAAATCTGGTAAAGGTAAAGAAAAGAAACTAAGAAGAAAAGAGGTGAGTTGCTTGATTCCTGTCGATTTGAAAACTAATCATATTTTGAGCATTCAAGACGAATTAGACAATTCTAGTGTACAGTCATTAATGGTTATGTCATCATTGTAGGAGCAAGCAAAGCTCTCTGCAGCTCAATCAGTTGTGGACGCCGCCAATGCTGTAAGCTTTCCTTATCACATATGCCAACCAGAAGTCAGTTGAGCCATTATAGATAGCCTGTGATTGCGTCACTGTTAACCATTCTTGTTTTAAATCACAACTGTGAAACAGCATTGACTGCGCCCATTCTTCATTTCAAGCAAGAACTGCTGACGCTATTTATAATGGCTTGGCTGACTTCCAGTAATTGGTATACGTGTTACCAAAAATGTAGTGTGCTTTATTTAAGCCACATAAGGCCATGGGAATGAAAGTCATAGATTTTCGTCCACCGCCCGCATGCCTCAAAAGCTACCGTCTAAAATTTTCATTATTTACAAAAAATTCATTATTTTCACAAATAAAGCAAAACTCAATAAAATTAGCAATAAAATTGTGTATTGATTGCAATGAAATGAACATATTGCAGTGTGTTTGTCCTCAGTATCCACATTCTTATGAAATTCCAAATTGTATTTACAGAAATGGCGAAATTGGCACACAGATCTTCAGTGCTGCGACCATGTGAGCTTGTGATATATGTAATTCCACGGCGTGAACGGTAATTCGTGTTTTTATCTCTGTATTTACCACCCAAAACAATGGTAAAAAAATAATGAATACCAGTAATGAATAATGAAAAAAAGCCGCATGCTTTTTCAAAATTATCCAGACGCAAATCTATGACTTTCATTCCCATGGCCTAATAGAGACTATAGAGAAGTCAGACTCGGCCAACAAAGGTGTAACTGTTGATCATCAAAATGTATTCATCTTCTCACGGTGGGCAAAAAAGACAGCAAATTTGGCCACGTACATATAACTTTCTGTCATTAGTTTGGAATATCACGAAACTCCCTCACAGGATAGAACTTAACATTCCTAAAAATCATATGTTTTTTGTTTTTCGATTTTGTTACATTTTGGCGGGAAAATGACGTGCCAACTTTGGCACCAAAAAATTAAACACGAGCTAAGAACAAGCTAGTAACGTTTTTGAAGAGATCTCGAAACTGTAAAAACATTAAAAATACAACAAGGCAGTGCGAAGATATGGCGATTCAAAATTCGAAAAAAATCTATTTTTAGTAACAAAATGGCTGATTTTTCAGTAAAAATAGAACTTTGAATCGCCATATCTTCGCACTGCCTTGTTGTATTTTTAAACAGTTTTGACATCCTTATAGGACAATCTTTTCAAAAAAGTTACTAGCATGTTCTTAGCTCGTGTTTAATTTTTTGGCACCAAAGTTGGCATGTCATTTTCCCACCAAAATGTAACAAAATTGAAAAACAAAAAACATACGATTTTTAGGAATGTTAAGTTCTATCCTGTGAGGGAGTTTCGTGATATTCCAAACTAACGACAGGAAGTTATATGTACGTGGCCAAATTTGCTGTCTCTTTTGCCCACCGTGCTAATTAGCAAGTGTGTTTATGAGAGGCATTCACCCCCTGAACATCTGCCATTTTTAATATTCTCGGGATGAATGCCTCTCATAAGCACACTGGCTAGGAACAGTGCGACGGCATGGTTACACCAAAGTCATAGGCACTAACAAGTAGTCAGACCTTAATTTTGACCTTCATGTTGCTATTTCAGGTCGATGACCTCATGAAACCTCTGACTCCATTCACCAAATACGACAGGAATGGGTAAGCAATGTTCACAGAATTAATGCATAAAGTATGCATGGTATGAGAATCTTCGTTTCATCGGTACATGTTCTTGTGTGTGGCTGAAATAGAGAACTTTGTTTTAGACTAATAGTGTCTATTGGATGTAAAAGAATATCAGAGTTGAGTGAAGAAGAATTTAACTGGGCTTTTGATCTCACAAAAGACAACATGCAAACATTGTGAGTTTGGTTGATAAAATTATACAATCAAAGTTTGTATGAGTTGACTTATAGCATAGATGTATTTTCACATTTTGCTTAGGGTATGTGTGGGTGCTGAAGATTTAGGGGATGAGAGAGGGGGTGCCAAGCAAGCTGGAGACACTCCATGAATTGTTAACATTTTATTTACAGTCATCTTCAGAATTAATTAATTAAAATACTTATATAGACATATATATAAAAGACAGACTATTACAAAAGTAAACCAGGGGGGGGGGGAAATCCACACAAGCAAAACATTTCAGAAGAAAATGCGTACAGCCAGAAGGTGGCAGAAAAAAAAATCACAACACAAGAGAAAAACATGCACGTATGTAGAAACTTCCATGCACAGCAGAAACTTCCCCATCCCTAATGTTTAAAAAGGCTGCAGATTAAGAGAGGTACAGGTATCTGAAAAATGCAAGCAGAACTTTCTCTCTGAAATCCATGCATGAACCTTCTTGTTATCATCAGGGTCTGAAATTATATCCACGAGAAACCAAACATTTGGTTTTGGATACCAAACTGTGAATAACTTCTATCCCAACTGGATACTAAGAAAATTTCAAACATTAAAAAATGTTAAACACCTTTGACGGCTCCTGATTGCTTTTGAATACTATCAGTTTGTTGAAGGATTATGTGCATTTTAGTTAATGAACAAGACGCCTGCTCAGGCGTTCACACTGGCCTTAGCGGTTGGTAAAACAGTAAAATACCATCACAATATTCTAAAAAATAGGCACGTAGTGCTTACATGTTGCATGCCATCAAAACCATGAAACCTCACGACTCAGAATACTATACAGAAATCATGGCCATCTCCATTGTTTTCTGTGTACGTGCTATTTGTCATGATTTGTCAGTCGGCAAGTACAGTAAACAGAAGCAGTTACCCCCTGGCACTGAACAAAGATACACAGAAGGTCGATTAGAGCATAGTCCAAAACATGGTCTGGAAACTCAGTAAACTTCAAAGCGGTTATAATGAGCTGGGATTTTACGTTGAGCCTTACCTTAAACCATGTACATCCTTTGTTTTAGGTTTATTAATATTTAACTAACATGGTTGAATGACTGAATTGAAACGTCGTTGTTGGATGATTCGTTCATTATACTGAAATACAATGTGTTCATAATTGACTGTGCACCGTGCACAAAACTGCATAAACGCAAAACAAAAAGATAGAACAAAGACTTTAGCGGTGTTTCCAAACCATGTTTTGAAAGACTGTAATTAGAGTAAACGCTGCCACATCCCAACCAGTGCGCACCAAAGGGGCACGCCCCCCCCCCTCCCGCTGGACGTCTATCATTTTGAATATTATAAGGGGGGTAAATGCCTCCCAAAAGCGCACCAGCCAGGACCATGACGTCAGCATTTTGATGATGAATTACGGTCATGCCAAAATCATTGGAAAACCATAAGAAAAACCAATAAATTGGGCTTCTGTATGACCGACCCTGTGCCCTGGTAATGATGCGCGACCGCTTATAACTTTTGGTACAACTGATCTGAAACTTAAAATATTGATTCAATAAGTTTAAGATCAATATATTGTTTGAAAAATAGCTATTATGTCAAAATTAGAAAACTTAAGATTCTCGCGCGAATAAGCAATGTTTTTATGAGCGTCTGTTCATCATTAGTTGCCAACGACGGTAATATAAACAAGGTCAAGGCAGGTCA